CCCACAGAGCACACTGCAGTAATTTAATCTTCTAGTAACCAATGCTTGAACTCCTGTTCAGTTGTTAAGGAGAAATAGTGATGATATCAGCATACTTCCTAATGACCACTGTCGCCACTTCTTCATTTGCCTTACACAGGCCAATTGGTGGTTATAGCTCTCCTTTTAACCCTTTAAGGGTAGATCTCAAACATTTGAGTTTATTGAACAACACCCAATCTGCTCCGGTTGTGCATATTTATGTGTGTATAAACGAAACAGAATTATCCCAAATGTGGGAAGGAATGAACTATTTTATTATCATCTGATTGTGGTGTGGAATGGGAGGGTAGACAGACAGGGAACCTCTGCTGTTCAGTGAGGAAAAATCTTTGTCGCTTGCTAGTATTTGCCTGGCCAAGCCTGAAGCAGCTGTCTAGGTTGTAGTATAAACTTGTCACCAGTATTCCTCCCCTCACACAAACACACCCTCTTGGGTCTTCTTTTATGGTTCATTCCAATCTTATCTGTTCCTTCAGTTCTTATTTTCCCTCTTCTGGGACTAACTGCCAGTTCATTTTTGAGGGATAAGAACCTTCCAAATGGAGCAGTCATGAAACTCTTGCTGCGAGCCATTTGTGTCTAGGACCACAGTTTTGTGTGTTGGTGCTATTTATTCCATTTATGAATCGCTTCCTGTTAAAACATCCTGAAGCTATTTCAGTGCTGCTACTGCGGCAGCTACATTGCCAGGTAACATATTGCTTGGTTGGAATTAGGAATTGGGAAAACAAATTCCCATCAAGTTTTGCGGAGCTATTGTATATTGTTTACAATCTGTAGTGATACACAGTACAGATTCCTGAACTGAGTCGTACGTTTCGGCTCCCGAACGCCGAAACCCTGGAAGTAAATGCTTCCGTTTTCGAACGTTTTTTGGAACATGAACGTGCGATGCGGCTTCCGCTAAGTGCAAGAAGCTCTTGCAACCAATGAGAAGCCGTGCCTCAGTTTTCAAACATTTCAGAAGCCAGACAGGGTTCTGGAATGGATTACGTTTGAGAACCGAGGCACCACTGTATCCCCAAGTTCTGTTCCCTGGAACTGTTTCATGAGGATACCATGGTCAATGGTAACAAAAGCCCAGAGATAGATAAAAAAGCAGCTTCTCATGTCCGAATTTCCATCGCATCAAATTTATAACCTCCCAACTCCTTTTCACCCTGTATATGAAGGAAACTAATCGCAATCCATGGCTTAGTGTTGCATTCAGAGCAGCAATTATGGTTTGTTTCATTCCAGCAAACCATGATCAGATATAATTGCTAAGACAGGGTGTGTTTCCTCTAAGTCAGGCATAGGCAAATTTGGCCCTCCAGATGTTTTGGGACTACAACTCCCATCATCCCTGACCACTGGTCCTGTTAGCTAGGGATGGTGGGAGTTGTAGTCCCAAAACATCTGGAGGGCCAGGTTTGCCTATTGCCTGCCCTAAGTGCAAGCTAGGAGGAGAGGACCAGACACAATTTCCCTGTGTACAGCAAACCATGGTTTATCATGACATGTGAGTGCAGCCATGTTGTTCGGCATTCCGGAATTGCACATTAATTTTGAGGATGTTTCTCTTTTTAGACTTGGCTGCATTTGTCATCTTGTGTCTTCAGCGTTGTTTTGTTCTTCATTGTTGCTCTTCTTTACAACGCGTCTTGCCCAATATGTTACCCTCCATCCAATCCCTACTGGACCATGGAAAAGCTGATGGGAGATCCTATGTTTTATCTGACTTGCTTCATAACACCTGCTGTTGCTCTGCTTCCGAGGTAAAGTATTTTTTCCCTTCTTCTTCTGTATATTTGTTAGTGGACAGACCTCGTTTTCATTCTTTTGTGAAGATATTGCTAAGCTGCAGGCATGTGCATATGCAGAAATAATCAAAATGTGTCCTAGAGCTGTCAAGCCCAAATGAATCAATAGTTTTGTTTTGTTTTTAGCCGTTGGCCATAACAAATATATGAAATGAATATCAAATAGATCACAACAAAGCAGATTTGTGAACAGATAAATAAAAACCCTGCCTAAATTCACATAACAAAAGACACTATGCGTTAATATGTTTTAAGAGATGTGTGCAGATTCTTATGTACAGTGGTACCTTGGTTCTCGAACTTATTCTGTTCCAGGAGTCCATTCGACTCCTGAAACAGTTTGAAAACCAAGGCGTGGCTTCCAATTGGCTTCAGGAGCTTCCTGCACTCAAGCAGAAGCAGCATTGGACGTTCGGCTTCCGAAAAAGGTTCATAAACCGGAACACTTACTTCCGGGTTTGTGGCGTTCAGAAGCCGATTCGTTTGACACATAAGTCATTCGAGAACCAAGGTACCACTGTATAATAGAAATGAACTATGGGGAGAGATTGGGTCATGCCCACTGCCTCCACTACCAAGAAGGCCCTCTGCCTGGTTCCCTGTAACCTAACTGTCAGGGGTTCAGGGAGAGAGGCACAGGGTAGGCAGGAGATGGAGAGCGATGGGGAAGAATTACAAGCCAGCGAGGAAGAGGATGACAATGACTCAAGAGATTCCATGAGTCTTTCCAGCGAATCAGAGGATTCCCAGAAGGGGCGCCGGTGGTCAAGGCCAGGGAGCCCCACGGCGGACGGGTCAGGCGCAGGGGGCCAGCGGAGGATCCCACAGTGGCAGCGGGGCGTCAGGACCAGCCTCCCCACCAGAGTGCAGCGAAGGGGGTGGAGTTTCCAGTGTGTCAGAGGAAGCAGCTCCGGCAGCAGAGAAAGGAGGGGGGTCAGAGCAAGCTGCCCTCCCGGAAGGGGAGGGGAGCAGTGAAGGGAGTAGTGTAACTGTCAAAAGGAAAGTTAGAGGTTTGGCGCGCGCACCTAGTTCAAATGTAGAGGCGCGCGGAAGTACAGGGAGCCCGGAGGAGGGGCCAGGTCCCAAAGCCCGCAGGAGGGGGCACGAGCCCTCTGATTCCGCGTCAGAGGAATCCAGGAGGGGCGAAACCCCAGCGGGCAGAAGGACGCTGCGGAAAAGGAAGGAGAGAAAGAGGTGGAGCAGCACAAGCCTCTTAAATTGGTGCAGGGGAGGGACGGATTCAGAGGGGACTTCAGCGGTCTAAGCGTAACAGACGTAAGGCTGCGCGCCTAGGATGTCAAGCAAACAATGAACTGCAATAAACACCTTTGTATATAAGAAGACATAGGCGTTGGTCTTTTGTGAGCTGAGACTTGAGGCAGCCTTGACACTAACAATGAGGCCCTCGGCACTGGACCTTAGTGTCCGGGCTGAACGATGGGGGTGGAGACGCTCCTTCAGGTATACTGGGCTGAGGCCGTTTAGGACTTTAAAGGTCAGCACCAACACTTTGAATTGTGCTTGGAAACATACTGGGAGCCAATGTAGGTCTTTCAGGACCGGTGTAATATGGTCTCGGTGGCCATTCCCAGTTTGGCTGCCGCATTCTGGATTAGATGTAGTTTCCAGGTCACCTTCAAAGGTAGCCCCATGTAGAACGCATTGCAGTAGTCCAAGCAGGAGATAACTAGAGCATGCACCACTCTGGCGAGACAGTCCATGGGTAGGACAGCTGCCCTGGACACAGAATTAACCTGTGCCTCCATGGACAGCTGTGAGTCCAAAATGACCCCCCGGCTGCGCACCTGGTCCTTCAGGGGCACAGTTACCCCATTCAGAACCAGGAGTGCATTGAAAAGTGCCCAGCCATTTCTCCCTAGTATTATGATGACAGAGACGGGAACACCAGAAAGTAGTTGATGGAGGAAGGGTCTCACCTTCTCCATTCTCTCAAAGGAGAAACCTTTCCTCAAATGGCATTCTAGCCGAGCATCCCACCAGCACCGTTCAGACAAAGTGTACTTGAGACCATCTTCTTTTGGTACATTCGCTTTTCTTAGTTCTTTGACTTATTTGGTCCTGTGGCCCTTTTCATCTCCCTGGCAGGTTCCTGTACAGAACCCTTCAAGGGACGGTGTTCCCCACCCAGCTTCAGCTCGGCCGCCAGTTGTCCAAGATGCCCCCAGATGCTCGCAACCAGCTTTTAAACAGATGGCACACCAAGAAGGAGGCCGGTCCCCACAAATACACCTGCGCTCATTACTCTCCCGAAACCCCGCATTCCCTCGTCGGCGACTCTTTAAAAGCTTGTTGCCAAAACAGTCCCTCCAGGTTATCTCAGCAAGGGAAAGAACAAGCTAAACAACCAAAGACCATACCCACCACAGGGTTAAACCCCCCTGCTCCCCCTCTTGGTGCTCAGCTATATGAGGGGGACGGGTGTTTTCTGTCAGCTCGCGGTCAAGAGGAAACACCTTTGGGTTTTCACAAAGGCACTTCGGAGCTGGAGCCGAACTTACTAGATGAGACATTCCAAAGGAACTCGACAGCAGACCAGGCGGACTTCAGCTTGTTGAACTGGATCACATCGACTTCATTGTTCAACGGCATTGAGAGAGAACTGCCTTGGTTATCGAGCAGTTTACAAAATGGAAGGTGGGACAGTACAGCTCCCGGCAGCTGCAGTTCTCAGGACCTCAAAGGCTCGACGGAGCAGGCCTCAACCTGTTTCCAGGAAGAAGAAGGAAAGGCTTCCGGTGGCTTCTTCCATACAGAACCTCTTGAGTCCACTTGTTTATGACATAGGCGTTGTAGCGCATACAGTCGTACCTTGGAAGCTGAACGGAATCTGTTCCGGAAGTCCGTTCAACTTCCAAAAAGTTCGGAAACCAAAGTGCGACTTCTGATTGGCTGCAAGAAGCTCCAGTGGCCAATTGGAAGCCACAGAAGCTCCATAGGACATTCGGGTTCCAAAGAGCGTTCACAAACCGGAACACTCACTTCTGGGTTTGTAGCGTTCAGGAGCCAAAACGTCTGAGTACCAAGGCGTTTGGGATCCAAGTTACGACTGTATTTTCTATTTGCACAAGAGTATAGTATTGCTCTGTTTCCAACGCTGGAACAGAAAGTCAAGGTACATAGTTTTATTTTGAAAGGATGTTTAAGCACAACATGTTGAAAAGAAAAGCTTTATATACAAAGAAGAAAATCCATATATGTATTTATTTTTCATCTCATTTTATACAAATGCAATATGTTTGTTTGTTTTTATTTGCTTCTCTTCTGTTATGGGCTCCTGTTATGTACCAGGTGGCAGCTGTTGGATTTCTACCAACAAGTGAATGTGGTCACCATTGGTTCAACCATCCGGGGCAGGGAAAATCCTACACTGATTTAATAAAAATTGGGCATCCCCCATCGAGTTTCTTTCGGGGAGGGAGCAAGGGATGTCTGCATGGAACCAAAGAGCTAGGAAATCCATCAGAAACAAAAACCCCGTATGTACAATGTTACACTGCCAAGGACATAGCAATACTGAAAATTTACAGGTATGGCCCTCCTTCCTCCATTTTTTAAATATTTCAACCATAGCAGTTTGTGTATTGTGACAAAATAAGAAATAAATGAAGATCTATGTTGCAAAGATGTTATCCTCTCTTCCGTTGGTGAAGGTACAGTTCTTTGTTAAAGTCTGGGCCATTTGCAATGAATCATAGAACTGTAGAGTTGGAAGGGACCACCAGGGTCATCTGGTCCAACCCTCTGCAATGCAGGAATCTTTTGCTGAACATGGGGCTCAAACCCACAACCCTGAGTTTCAGAGTCTCGTGCTCTACCAACTATGACCCTTGAAAGAAGATATAATATGCCAGGGAAATTGTGGGGCTTGTGCTAGAGGTACATAAATACATACATTCCATAGTTAAATACCAGCTCAAGGCGGCTTACAACAGGAAAAAAAATTACATAATATAACAAAAATAGTAATAAACAATAAAAAGTACACAACCAAATTGAACTATCTCTGCATTAAATTTAAAATAAAGATACCAATAAAGTTCTAAAATATACAAAAATGGTATCATTAGCAGCAGCAGCCACCCCCAAGCCACACCCAACTGTCAGCTGAAGGGTGGAGGTTCAGGGTACAATCCAGCAGGGAGTGTGTCAAAGTTGGCCCACAGGTTGGGGGGCGGGATAAATATCTGCCCTCCCCCAAACCTAAAAGGTTCCCCAGCCCTGACTAAGGTAAAAAGGTAAAGGATTCCTGGAGGGTTGAGTCCAGTCAAAGGCGACTATGGGGTTGTGGCGCTCTTCTTGCTTTCAAGCTGAGGGAGCCGGCGTTTGTCCACAGACAGCTTTCCAGGTCATGTGGCCAGCATGACTAAACCGCTTATGGCACTATGGAACACCGTGACTGAAGCCAGAGCGCACGGAGAAACCGTTTACCTTCCCGCCGGAGCGGTACCTATTTATCTACTTGCACTATGATGTGCTTTTGAACTGCTAGGTTGGCAGGAGCTGGGACAGAGCAACGGGAGCTTTCCCCGTTGCGGGGATTCGAACCGCCGACCTTCCGACCGACAAGCTCAAGAGGCTCAGTGGTTTAGACCACAGCACCACCTGACTTAAAGGGGAGTGGAAGCCCATACTGAGCAGCCTAAACATCTATCTGGGTGGATGTCCCACCCACCAACTGCCTCTCCATCTTGCTAGGACTGAGCTTTCAGTTATTGGCACTTATCCAGTCAATTACTGCTCCCTGACACCAGTTCAGCACTTCCAGTGTCTCACCTAATAGAGATGTAAATGAGAAGCAGATTTGGATGTCATCGGCATACTGATGGCACCTCCTCGCTCCAGCTCCTGAGATGACCTCACTCAGCAGCTTGAGATCAAGTTTCAGTGATGAAAATGAATTCAGGTCTTGTCTTGGATGCATGGTTATTATTTTGTTTTTATCCTATCTTGTTTGAGGGCTGAGAATGGGTAAAGGCATTTTAAGGAGGGAAACACAGTAAAATAGACCACCGAATGAAAATAAATAAGTAATTTAGCATAAAAGACTGTCATATAATATTATTTGTCTGATTTGGCAGAGAGACATTAACAGTGTGATCCTATGTGTGCTTACTCATAAGTAAGTGCCGCTATATTCAGTGGGGCTTACTCCTAAGTAAGCATGCATAGGAGTACATCATTGGTGATTCAGAAGTGCTAAGGTGTAGATTCTCCATAGTATCTGTGAGGAACTGGAGACAGTTCGGAATTTTCCCAGAATTGAAAGAGGTCATGTTGCAGCTTTGGATGAACTCAGAAGAAGAACTTGGCGATTTGGAAATAAACACTTCAGAGGAGATCAAGCCTGTTGAGGACATTTGTTGTCAGGTTTTGGTTTCATCCGGAACATTATTTGTTGTTGGGCTGTAACTTCTACCAGCTCCCACTGGGTCAGATCTTAGCGCCATGAAAAGTCGTGGCAAAATTCCCACAGATGTCTTTAAGGATTGCTCATGTCGTTTAGGATTGCACATTCGACATGCGGTGGCAGGATGTGCTCTGACAAGCCATGTGGACTCTGCAGCCTCAAGGGCTTGGTTCAGCGCCAGAGTATTCTGCGACTCTTCCACTAGAGTTAGCTATCAAGCTGGGCTCTAGAATTAATATTGTTCCTGGGTTGAACAGCATGCAGCCATGAAGATAAAGTGCCAGAATCATAAAAAAGAGCCCATTTTCTTCTTCAAATCATAGAATTGTAGTGTTGGGAGGGACCTCAAAGGGCTGGGACAACCCAGTAAGATGTGTGGGGTACAAATAATAAAATTATTATCTAGTCCAAACCCTGTAATGCAGGAATCAAAACCCTTTTTTGACCCTTGTCATCTTGCAACATATTCATTGGAATAATGCAACCTCTTCCATCCATTTCCAATATAGGTTAAATGATGCCTAAGGCAGGACTGGTGGTTGCTGCAATGCAGCAACATATGACAAGCCACAGGTTCCCCATCCCTGCTCTCCCTAATGGGCTTTATACAGATATTCGTAGCCTGAGGACTGGGCTTCCTATGGAACTGCGCTTTCTCTCTATTTTGACATATGGAAGCTCTTCTCAAAAGAACTGAGTTCCGGTCCAAGCAGTGCTTCCTGTTTCCAGCGGAAACTGGCTGTGCAAATGTGCTAATTGGCTAGCCCCCCACCCATGGCAATAATAAAGCTATTCCCTCTCCCTAGCCTACCCTCAGGTTTTTCAAATTAACATAATTGATTGATATATTTTTTTAAGTATCTGGTGACAATTTTTATAACTAATAAATAAGCTAGGTGCCTGAATATATGTAATGAATATATGGTTGAATATATGTAATGTCCAAAGCCAGCCTGAATAGAGGCATCATTCCATGCTGGATCTGAATTTCAATCTGAGGTAAATGTGTCAATACAAAAGAAAAAGTTGCCAGAATGCTGAGCTTGCAGACCCTCCTATTTTCCAGGAACAGTCCCAGATTTACAGAAGCCATCCCAGTTTCTGATTTGATCCCAGAATGTCCCGCTTTTCCTTTGGAGGTTCCTATTTTCATCAGAGAAATGTTGGAGGGTATGGAGTTATGCAACCCACGAGCCAAAGAGATAAGTAACTATACAACCTTTAGAAGATATTTGAAGGCAGCCCTGAATAGGGAAGTTTTTTTAATATTTAATGTTTTATTATGTTTTTTTATATGTTGGAAGCTGCCCAAATTATTATTATTATTATTATTATTATTATTATTATTGAATAGGATGTCCTATTTTCATCAGAGATATTTTGGAGGGAATGGGTTTGCCTCCACAAACACACCAATTCCTGTGTTCATAGTTTCTATCATGATCTTTATCATGAGATTTACAAGTTAATTCCCAACAGTGAAATCCTGCGTTGCTGTTTGAGTATGAACGGATGAAATGGGTAAAGTCAGCAAAAGCTGCTTCCCTCCCTCACTCCCTCCCTCCCATCCACCCACCTTGCTCATATTCTTGCCTGTTTCTAGGCTTTTAAATCCTCTGGCTTAATCATGGTTTATCGCTCTAATTTTCCTCCCACACGTCCCCAACCGCAGTCCCACTGGTTGAAAATCTATTAGGTAACTGAATTGTCTGCTCTTCAAGTCACTATTGGAAATGTAGCGCTGATGTGCAATAGGCAGTGGGGATTTTAGCTTAATTAAAAATGATTCCAACAGTCACCAGCACTTTTACACAAGACTGATTAAGGGTTTTTTTGTGGCTCTTGGTGGTCATCAATATGAGTCCTATTCTTAGTGCATGGCAGATTTTAAAAGTCTCACAGTATTTGCTGGGGGGGTAGGGGGGGTTGGCCAAGTATTTCCTAACCTCTTGCCCAGCAGTCCTATCCATTACCCAAAATGAGATGTTCCAAAAAACCCTACAAAACCTCAGTAAACTATTGTTGTCTGCCTGTTACAGCCTCCAGAGCTGCGAGTACGGAGTGGACGGTTGCCTCACAGGCCTAATGGATAACTTTTCCTGCTAAGCCTAAGGTGCAAGGGGCACTTATGGCTTAAACTATTTTATTTTTTTCAGAACCCCAATACTATCTGGGTATCACATTCTTCAGCTACACATCTGCCATTGCAACGACACAAGAGTAGGCAGCAATTGAAAACTCCAAGGTACAATGCAATTTGATGCCATGGCAGCAAATAAAATATTAACCTTCCCTCCCTTTCTCCCTGCAGACCCCAACACCCCTAAATCCATTCCAGATTATTTCCCCCCAAGCCTATGTAGTGGATTTGCTAGGAGACCCCTATTTCCCTCAGCTCCCAGAGTCTCCTGGGAAGAGAGGCTGATTGTTTAACCAGTCTGGGAACTATAGTTCTGTGAGGGGAATGGGATCTCTCAGCACCCTTAACAAACAGTTGCCAGGGTTCTTTGGAGGAAGACGGGACTGTTTAAAGGGGTGAGGTGCTGCTTTAAATGTCTAGTGCTATTCCGGCCTTAGTTTGTATGAACTAGTATAGCTTTACATCCTGTATTCAAGTAATAGCACCCAAGCATTGTTGATATCTCGTATCAAGATTGATGTTTACAGGTGTATACACCCAAAAACAGGGGGTTTCAGTCCATTTCACATTGCTGGTTCTGAAATACCAAAACAGGGTACATATGCTGCCAAACCCCAGTAAACTACTAGAATGACATTGCACAAATTGGGACTCTCCCCTCTCGCTCCGGGAAGGAGTCTGTGTTGCTTATCTCCAGTTTTCTTCTTTGGCAATCACTCGTAGCCGAATAAGATTGTCTTCTATAAACATGGTTTTAACAGTGAGTCCGTAAGTGACTGTGGAGGCCAATTCTGGACCCACACGTCCTTCCACAGTGGGGACATAGGTTTCCAGGCGGGAGTGGATCATGGTGAGGGTTTGCCAAGTATGCCTTCCTCTCAGCACGTTTCTCCCTTTCGTCCTCAGTTCGAGCATCTACAAAGCCCATGACACCTTTGGTAAAGGCTGTTCTCCAACTGGAGCACTCGCAGGCCAGTGTTTCCCAGTTGTCAGTGTTTATACTACTTTTTTTAGAGTTGCCTTGAGAGAGTCTTTAAACCTCTTTTGTTGACCACTAGCATTACGCTTTGCATTTTTAAGTTCAGAATAGAGTAGTTGCTTTGGAAGACGATAATCAGGCATCCAAAAACATGACCAGTCCAACAAAGTTGATGTCAAAGAATCATTGCTTTGACATTGGAGATCTTTGCTTCTTCCAATACACTGGCAGTTGTTTGCCTGTCTTCCCAAGTGATGTGCAAAATATATTATACTACCTCCAGTATAACAGTGCCAGAGTA